TAGGACCCTTCAGTCCAGAGGCCGCCGCTCTATCCACTGAGCCAAACCGGTCAGGGCTTAACTATTATTTTTATTGCTGCTGTTAAGGTATCTGTTCTCAGAATGAGAAGAAGTTTTAAAGCAAAAAGTCTCAGTAGATTAAATCACACAGAAAATGTCAGGTGTAATGGCTGTTTTAAAGAAATAAAATTCCAGGTCCCATAAGCACGTCAAGAAGATTGGGAAGATGTGTATTATTACATAGGTTTTCTTTGGGTGGTGGGTTTATAGGTGATTCACAATCCCCCACTCCCCATTTTCTCTCTGTTTAACAAACGTAACTACTCTTTATTTTAATTCTTTATTGTTCAAAGTATTGCATATGTCTTCTTTTTCCTCCATTGACCTCTCCCCGCCCACTCATGCCCCCAGCATAGGCCCTCACTCCCCTACTGTCTGTGTTCAGTGGTTATGCGTATATGCATGTATACAAATCCTTTGGTTGATCTCTTACCTCCCCTGCCTTCCCTCTGAGGTTTGACAGTTTGTTTGATACTTCTATGTCTCTGGATCTATTTTTGTTCATCAGTTTATGTTGTTCATTTCACAAATGAGTGAGATCATGTGATACTTATCTTTCTCTGACTGGCTTATTTTGCTAAGCAAAATAAGCCAGTCAGGTCCATCCATGCTCTCCAGGTCCATCCATGCTGTTGCAAATGGTAAGCGTTCTTTCTTTTTTACAGCAGCGTAGTATTACATTGTGTAGATGTACCATAATTACTCTTATATTTGGGGAAACTAAAGTAATAATATATATAAGGGGAATTAAATATACTCAGTTTTGATACAACTGTTGTGTAGTGCTAATATAAATAATTCAGTATTTCAGGATGGCAATTAGATCTCAAAGCCTTGAAAAAGTTCATACTCTTTGACCTAGTGATTTTACTCGCAGTACTATATTCTTAGGAGATGATCACAAATGTCAGAAAGATAGAAGGATATTCATTATTTATAGCATAGCCTTTTAGCAAGAAAATGGAATTTGCCTTATGTGTAAAGCTCTATAATTAAGTTTGAACTCCATGCCAAATGGCTGCATTGACTGGATTAGTAAATTTAACAGCAATTTGGTAGAGATACTTTGATCATAGCATTAGTATAAATTTGGAAATTGTATTACTTGGTTAAAAACAAATTTGGTATTTATGGATTTAATTCAGGAATTTTGTCTGAAAATATGGCATTTTTATATAGTTGTAAAAGACTGATTTTTAGGAGGAACAAAAACGTTTTCTAGCAGATGGATGTTTTCTAATGCAATTATCATGTAATGTTATTTTTATGTTAATGTACTATCTATCACTAAATATTTTTGGCTGTACTAGAATATAATATGAAATGAGCATATATCTAGGCTGAGTACCAAGCAGTTTTTTTATTGTAGAGTTGCTTCTGTCATTTTATTTTTTCCTTCTGTAATTTCAAATCTGATAGTTATAATTTAATTTTAGGTTTTAAAAATGTTAGTAATTTATATCTTCAGAGCATTTACTGCTTATCAGTGGTGTTGAAGCAACAGTCATCTCTTCCCTCAGCATTCTCATCTCAGTTGCTCCAGTCGGAAACTTGGAAATCTTAGTACTTCTGGATACCTCATCCTTGGCTTACACTGTGTGAATCCAGTTGTTGACCAAGTCCTGTCTGCCTCCAAATAACTTGAATATACCGCTTTTTTCAATATCCACTGACCCATCCTAGTTGAGGGAACTACGTTTTTCTTGGGAGTATTGTAGTATCTTATTTCCTCAAACTTTCCCTGACTCAGTCCATTCCTTTGTGTTAGTTTCTATTTCATTTTAAATCTTATTGAATATATGTATGCATCAGTTTAAGAAATTAAATATTTCCATAAGACAGTGGTTCTCAACCTTCCTAATGCTGCGACCCTTTAATACAGTTCCTCATGTTGTGGTGACCCCCAACCATAAAATTACTTTCGTTGCTACTTTATAACTATAATTTTGCTACTGTTATGAATCTTAATGTAAATATCTGATATGCAGGATGTATTTAGGAAACCCCTGTGAAAGGGTCATTCGACCCCCAAAGGGGTCTCGACCCACAGGTTGAGAACCGCTGCCATAGAGAACATAATATAGCAATACCCAAGTCCAGTTGCTCCCACCCTTCAGCCTCCACTCTCAAGCCCCACACCAAGTCTCTTAGCTCTTCCTCCTTGGAGGAGTTTATGTCCAGTTTTCAAAATCTAAATGTCTGTTATTTGTGATTTTTTAAATTTTGGATATGATTTATTGACTCTCTACTATAGAAGAAGATTTCACTCTCATATATTCTCTTCCCCTCACATTTACACAATTCACTTCCTCTTTTTCCCATATAGTTGTGTCACAATTTTGACATGAATCAGTAAACCATGGCTTAGTTGTAAAGAACAAGTTATTCTTGGCTCAGTTATTCTTTACAGTTGAGCCATGATTTCTTAAATTCTGTTTTCCTTAAGCTAATAACTTGTATTAGGTTTCTCTGTACTTTCACTAATTTTTCTGCCAGAAGTGAATGTATTGAGTGTGTCCACTCAATGTGTTTAAACACTTCAGATATCTTTCATCTTTCAGAGACTCAAGCCTCTTAGAATCGCTGTCCTCTCGGTATTTACTGTCTGGACTGTTGTTCTTAAGGTGTGCTCAAAGCTTTGTTCCAGGACCTCCCTTTACTGTTAACCTGAGAATTTCAAATATTTTCTTTCTCTGTTCGCTTCTGCTTTTCTGGATCCCATCTCTTTTGTTTCTTAATTTGCTAGTTTGTTTTGATGGAACACATTCTACTAGTTCTCTGAGAATAGGTGCATAGAAGGAAAATTCTGAGACTTGTGAATGTCTGAGAATGTCTGTAGTATACTTTCATACTTAATGTATATTTTTGTTGGATTTAGAATTCTAGGAATTCTCTTTAATATATTTTATTGATATTTTGCAGAGAGGAGGGGAGAGGGCTGGAGAGTTAGAAACAGATGAGAGAGAAACATCGACCAGCTGCCTCCTGCACACTCCCTGCTAGGGATGTGCCTGCAACCAAGGTACATGCCCTTGACCGGAATCGAACCTAGGACCTTTCAGTCTGCAGGCCGAGGCTCTACCCACTGAGCCAAACCAGTTAGGGCAGAATTCTAGGAATTTGATGGCATTGTCTCAGTGGTCTTTTAGTATCCAGTGTTGCTATTGAGATATCTGAGTCCTGTTTTTCTGTGTGTGATATATTTTTTTGTTTTTTAATTTGACAGATTTTATGATCTTTGTGTCTAGTACGTTGTAATTTTTTTGGTGCTAGGCCTTCATTAGAGTCTTTTTTTCTTAATTCATTGTAATAGGTCCTAGACACGTCTTTTCTTGTCCTTCAAGATCTAGGGCATTTTCATGAATTATTTTGTGTATGTGTAAGTTACCTTTTCCCATTTTCTCTGTTCTCTCTTAAAATTATTTTTCTTACTCAGATGTTGACTCCTATGGACTCTTCTAATTAACATAACGTTTTTTTCCTACTTTTAGCTTACTGTTTAAAAGATTTTATCACTTTATCTCACAATTCTTCTGTATATATATGTTTTAAATTTTATTTTTCATTTCCAAAAGCTCTATTTTTTCTCTGGTTATTTCTTTTTTAATCCTCCTGGTTTTTCTAATGGGAGCAATGTTTAGTCTTAGCTATCTGAGAATATTAATTACATGGTTTTGTCTTTTTCTTTTCTCAGTTTTCTTTTGTTCCCTGCCCTAACTCAGTTTCCTGAGTTCTTTTATTTCTTCCTATAGATTCTGGGGTTTTTTCTGGTGGTCTTTGGTGTTCTAGCATGGCTCTTATTTTGAATCTTGGACCCCTTCAGCAGACAAACCTGTAGAACTAAACACTTTTTTATTTATATTCATTCATTCATTCATGTTTATCCTAACCCAAGGATATGTTTATTGATTTTTAGAAAGAGAGGAAAGGAAAGATAGAGAACCATTGCTTGGTTGCTTCCCCAACGTGCCCCGACCAGGGACTGAACCCCAAACCTAGGAATGTTCCCAGACCAGGAATCAAACCCGAGACCTTTTGGTGTATGGGACAATGCTCCCACCAACCAAGACACCCAGCCAGGGTTGAACACTATTTTTAAATGAAAGGAAATAAATTTTGTTAAAATCCACTTATCAAAATATTTTTAAACTGTTACATAGCAATGTACCTGTTTTTTAATAATCTATTAAATAAGATCTAGAGGTGAGAGATCATAAAATTGATGATGAGTACATTTTTGAAGTATCTTGTAAGGCAATATGAAAATACATTATTTTTATTAGTGACAGAGTCACAATAATTCTTCTGTAACCTGTAATCACAATAATTGCTAATTCTTCCATTTCATTTATAATGAAAAGGAATGTCATTACAGTTAGAGGTTAGTACAAAATACAAATTTAATTTTTTTTTACATACAAGTTCTTGAGCCCTTTGAATTCTATTAGCAGACCCTGTGGGGGATCAAGAATCCCTTAATCAGAGGTTTCTTAAACTGCCTGGTCCTTGGTTGTCAGCTCAGAGTGAGGTGCTGGAGAGGGAGAGACAGAGAGAAACATCATGTGAGAGAGACACATCCACTGGAAGCTCTGGCTGAATGGGGCTTGACAACGGGTAGGCTTTACTTTGGGCTGCGCGATGCTCGGCTTCCATGATCTGTGGATCTTTCCTCTCGGGATTCAAGCCTCTTCAGAGGAGGATCCATCAACCTGCCTGGAGAGCAGAACTCAGGTCATCTGTGTTCGCCCTCGGGTATCTGCTAATAACATTTGCTTCTGTGATTTAACTGAACGGCTATAATGTTTGTTACATCTCTTCTTACTGAATAAGTCAGTTCTGGGAAGGGAAGCAACTGTCTTTAATGTTTTGAAAGCCTTAATATGACAGGAAAACCTGGCTATTTCTTGAGTTTATGTTTAATTTCCAACTTAATTTTCCAGGAGCTTTCAAGTTGTGGATGGAATAAAAAAGAAAAATATAGTTCTGCACCAAATGCAGTTGCCTTCACAAGAAGATTTAATCATGTGAGTTGATTATAAAATTTTGATGTTTAGTTTCTGAAATATAATTCCTCAGTATGTAATTTTTCATGAAGACATAGTTTAACTTTACATCTGTTCTGGAATATTTTCAGCCCCTATCTCTTCAAATGTTGTCTCTCTGCATAATCTCTTCTTTTTTTCTTCTGTAATTTCTATTGGAAATTTGTAAGAACTTGACATTTTTTCCTACTTGTCTTAACCTTTCATATGTTGCATCCTACCCCTTGTGCTCATTCTGTGTGATTTTCTCAGATCTATAATTTAGTTCACTAATTCTCTTCAGAAGTGTCCTATCTGTTTTAAATCTGTATGGTTTTACCCTAGTGTCATTTTTTCTTATTTTTTAAGTCCTTAAATCTTTTTCAAAATTTTATTTTTTGTATTATTTTATTGTTGTTGTTGTTAATCCTCACCCAAGGATATTTTCCATCGATTTCTAGAGGGAGTGAAAGGGAGAGGGAGAGACAGAGAGAAATATCGATGTGAGAGAGACACATTGATTGGTTGCCTTATGCATGCACCCAACCGGGGCCTCCTGCAACCACAGTACCTGCCCTTGGTTCTATCCACTGAGCCATACCAGCTAGGGCAATGTTTATAATTTCTGTGTTATTATCCAAAGTCCTTGGGGGTAATAAATCTCTGTTATTTCTGCTGATCCTTACTCACAATGGTTTGTCCTTTTAGGCATTTTGTAATTTTGGGTTGAGAGCTCAGTCTGTTGAAGCTTTATCTGTGGGGATTTTGCCACCACCTAGATCAGTGATGGTGAACCTTTTGAGCTCGTCGTGTCAGCATTTTGAAAAACCCTAACTTAACTCTGGTGCCGTGTCACATATAGAAATTTTTTGATATTTGCAACCACATAAAACAAAGACTTACATTTTTGATATTTATTTTATATATTTAAATGCCATTTAACAAAGAAAAATCAACCAAAAAAATAAGTTCGCGTGTCACCTCTGACACGCGTGTCATAGATTCACCATCACTGACCTAGATTGAGGGTATATCCCTTCTGATGAGATGCTTTTGTTTGCTAGTTCCAAGGGCTATCACAGAATTAGGACTAACCATGACTATTCTTTATATTAAGTGTTTTGTTTAGAGAACATCTGCTTCTCTGTAGTGAACATTTAAACTCAAAATCCAACTAAAAAGGGCAGGTGCAAATTCTCATAAAAGACTTATTTTTCTCCTCCCTCTACCAGTGGGTAAGTTGTTTTATAATTGTACTATATATTGTCAGAGCATATAGACATTGTACAGTGCACTCACTCTCCTTTAACCCTCTTGGTTCTATTAGTAAGTGTATATTTAAAACAACCATCCTTACGTTGATGTTTCTTTAGTCATTTTGGTTGTCTGAAGCTCGTCCTCAAGTAGATTACTCAAGAAAGGCTCTTTGGAACAATAATTCCTGAACTCTTAACATGTTGGCAGGTTTGCCTGTCTTCTGTATAAAATTTGATATTGTACTCAGTTTTTTTTCCTCTCAGTGTTGCTATTGAAAAGTATGATGACAATTAAATTTCCTTCTTCTAAAAAATCACTTTCTCTTTTTGTTTCAATGCCCAAAATATTTTTTTCTTTTAAGTACAGTAATATTATTAAACTATTTCTTGGTATTGGTTGTCTGGGTCAGGATTCTTAGGGGGGTTGACTTTAGCTGGGGCTGCCGACTGGGGAGCACCCACACTTAGTCTTTCCCGCCTGGTGGTCTGAGTGAAGCTAGACCTCTTCCATGGTGGCCCAGGGGCCAGGAGAGACTGTTCCAGCATGACCTTGTCCAGGAGGTCAGCAGCCATTTCTTTAACCCTCTATTCATCGAGGCATTCAGGAGCCTGTCCAGATCCAGTGAGAGGTGACAACTTTAGATGAGAGGAATGACAAAGAATTTGTGGTCATGTTTTCTTTTTTAGGACATACATTTTATTTATTTTGTTGTTGTTTTTTCCATTTTTAAAAATCATCATATTTGTCTTAATATTTATCTCACATTAAAATTGATTAAGTCAATGATTATGCAGTTTAGATTGCATTCTCAGTTGATAATTGCTAAGGTTATTGTTAAAATATCTAAAATATAACCTTTTATATATTTTAGAACTAAACTTAGATTTAGGGATAGTTATTGCCATTAGTAGGGCAAATATAGTGACAGATATAAAGATGGCTTTGTAAAATATATACATTTTTCTTTTACATCTACACTTGTAAAATATATATATTTTGACAGTTTACTGATGAAAATAGCAAGTAAAATCTGAAATACTTCTCACTAAAAATAGGTGAAGAAACATGAGGAAGTGGCATCATCTTTTGCACCAAGATTTCTAACTACATCCTGTTTTTAGATTTATATAAATTGGAGCCAAACGATAGTGCTTTGATTTTTATTTTCATTGTACATGAGTTAAAATGTTACATGCGTGTTACATTGTATCATATAATCATACTATTTTTACCTGCATAGAACATTTAGTAATATTAAATCTAATGCCCCTTCTGATGAATGATTTTAAATGTTCTTTTAAAAGAAATCATGACCGGGTTTCACCGAACTAGAAAGCACTGCATAACTTTTAAAATACAATCTTAACTTTACAATGCCTTGTATGTATTTTTTATGGTATTTTCATTTTATTCAGACCAAGAAAACTGTACTTGGGATTTTCCACACTTACAATTCTGCTCATTATAAATAAATGACAAGTGGAGTTACATAGCCATGGAAAACGTGCTCTACCTAGCATATTTCCCAGTGTCTGGTCTTAGAGGTTACCCAATTCTGCCAAAGTATTTCAAAATACAGCAAAAAACACTTGTATTTGTATAGTGTTCATGTTTCATCACTCTGGCTTCATTGCACTCTCTCAGCTCTTTTCCTTCAAAATTTATATTAGCTTCTACCAATTAAAAATAGTAGCGGTGTTTTCATGTGTGTGCACACATATACATACATGTGCATCTTATTCTGTCTATATATGTGGTGTGTATGCAACATTTGAAGATTAGTTATGTCCTGGTGGTGAGTGAAGGGACAGAGGAAGCTCTAGGTGGGTCTTCATGTAGCTCTTGTCATTACTGTGATCCTAGTGAGTAACGAATCTTGCCATTCACCTATTTTTAATTTTTATTTGCAGGTAAGCTTTTGGGTTGTTAGAGAGATTCTTCATGCTCAAACATTAAAAATTAGAGCAGAAGTTTTGAGCCACTATATTAAAACTGCGAAGGTAAGAAAAACTTGTGTTTCTGTTTTTTAGTTCAACCACTCAGCAGTGTTTGTGAATGTTTGCCTGTGATACTTTATTTACTATTTACTGATGCTGGAAAGTAAGATATATTGATTCATATAAGCCCGTTTTTTAAGCTGGATGCTTGTTTTCTCCGCTTTTTCCTTTATTTCTCTATTTTTTATATCTTTCATACCTTTTTTTCCCTCTCTTAGAATAGCTGAATGACATTATTTATTTAACTGAATAAGTAGACAGGTCAGATTATGGTGAAGTCTGTATTTAAATATTGGACTATTCTGCAGGTAATTAAGAAAGCCTTATAGAATTAAATAGGAGAATGTATAGCAATTAACTGCTTTTGAAATAGATCATTCTGCCACGCATATGGGGAATGATAAGACTTTATTTTTAAAAGAATAGTATAAATGAGGATGTTAACCAAATATGTTAATTACGTAGTTATTGGGGGCATAGGTAATAAATGCAGCAAGAGAAATGGAACATGGATTTAAAGGACAGGCAGAATTTAGAGAGGAGGATGGAATGAACATTCCACAAGAAGATTCCAAGATTTTATTAAAACTTGTAACAACTCCCTGTCCTGGCCAAATGGTTCAGTTGGCTCGAGTGTCATTCCATACACTAAAAGATAGCAGGTTCTATTCCTGGTCAGGGCACTTGCCCAGGTTACAGGTTCAATCCCAGGTCTGTGCATAAGTGGGAGGCAACTGATCATTGTTTCTCTCTCTCTCTTTCTCCCCCCTCCCTTCCTCTCTAAAAAAAAAAAAAAAAGAATATAAAACTTGTAACAACTCCAAATTTATCTTAGGTTCACTAAAAAATGGTGTACTTGTAGCCACATCGTTCTTCTTATAATAATTATGTAACTTAGCTCGCCTGTGAATGAAGGAAGATAGAATAAAATAAGTATACCATTTTAGTAGTTTTAAGTTTTGTAATAACTGTAAAATTACAATTATTGTAAGTCATACCTCTTGCTTATTTTCCTTGAGCTCATGGAACAATTGTATTCTAACATTTTGTGGCACTAGATGGCAGAACTAGCCTTCTAAAATTTGATATTCTGTGGAAATGTCATATAAAATTTCAAAACATTCTTTGTGGTATGATAGGTAAATATTGGGTTTTCGCTTATAGAAATTCATGACTTTTCTCCATAGATTATGAATTTGCATTATTGTTTTCTCATAATTTTGTTAGTTTTTTATGTGCTTGTATATTCTACTCAAAATCATCAAATTTTGCCCATCAGACCTGCCGTAATCCTGCTCGTCAGATGGCATTCAGCTCCAATTTCGGCTCTTCGACTCTGAGTCACGTTTGACAGAGCTGGTTTTGATCCCAAGCCTTACATTCATAACTCTTTGTTCCATCGGCGTCCCTTAATCCTGTTCTGACTCGCTGCCTTCTCCATTGAGTTTGTTACAGAGCTGGCAGGTCTTCTCTTCTTTCAGTAGATTGTATCAGTTTGGGTTCTGGAGACAGTAAAATATGTATAAATGTGTAATGTATAAATTGACTTAAAGAATTGACTCCTGGGTTTGGGGTTGGGGTTGGGGTTGGGGTTGGGGTCGGGGCTGGCAAGTGTGACATCTGTAGGGCGGCGGACAGCCTTGAATCTGAGGCAGAAGTTGAGGCTGCAGCCTGGAGGCAGAATTTCTTCTCTAGGAAACCTCAGTTTTTACTCTTCAGGTGTTTCAACTGATATGATGCTGCCTACCTGATTATCGAGTATAATCTTTTAATTTAAATGATCTGATTGTAGATGGTACATCTACAAAGTATTTTCATAGCAACACCTAGATCACTGTTTGATTAAATAACCGGATACTATAGCCTAGCCAAGTTGGTACATAAAACTAATTATCCATAAACACAAGAGTATTTATAAAATTCATTTAAGGTATCAAAACAATGATAGAGTGAATTGCCTTGTGCCCACTGCCCACTTTAAATTCCCATCTCTTCATATGCAGTCCCCTAACCTCCCACTACAAAAGGAACCACTCCCATAAATTTTGTTTGCTCCTCTTTTATACTTTTTACTATATGTGTGCGTGTATCCCTGAATAATATATTGTTGTATATGATTTTGAATTTTGTTTAAAATGAATTATTTCATGATACTTTATTCTTTCACAACTTGGTATGTGTTTTTTTTACTCAGTAGTGTTACTGGATGGTTTTGGGTATATCTCTGTTGTATTCTGTTGTTTGCGTATACCACAAATTGTTCAGTATGTTTTAGCTTGGGTAGTTTTTAGATTATTGCTGTTATAAACACTGCTGCTATAAAGCATTCTTGTGTGGGTCTCTTGGGGCTTATGTGAAGGTGAAACCCTAGAAATGCATAGAGAAAAGTCTACCTTCAAAGAAATGACAGACCAGTAACCTTTCATTGAATCTGATGAGAATGAACATTTTTTATATTTTGACCACTTAGGGTTGTTGTTTTTTTCCCCTGAAATGTCTATTTAAGATCTTTGAATAATATTCTATTATGGTGTTGGTCTTTTCTTTTTTTTAAATATATTTTATTGAGTTTTTTACAGAGAGGAAGGGAGAGAGAGAGAGAGTTAGAAACATCGATGAGAGAGAAACATCGATCAGCTGCCTCCTGCACACCTCCTACTGGGGATGTGCCCGCAACCCAGGTACATGCCCTTGACCGGAATCGAACCTGGGACCCTTGAGTCCGCAGGCCGACGCTCTATCCACTGAGCCAAACCGGTTTCGGCGGTCTTTTCTTTTTATAGGAGTGTTTTTTAATATGTAACTAATTTCTAGTTTTCTATTATATACTTTGCATACATCTTCCTATTTGTGGCTTGTCTTATCATTACTCTTTTCACGTTACCTTTTGACATAGATGTTCTTACCTAAGTAATAAAATGTATTCTTCTTTACTTAATTTTATTGTCTTCTTTAAGGATATTTCATTTAAGAAAGCTCTGAGAATTTTTTTTTAAAAAATGGGTTTTTAATTAGCCTTTAAAAGTTTCATAGCTTGAGTACTTCCTCTATGTGGAGTATATTTAATATATAATATGAATGAATTATACATTCCAGTTCATAATTTTCCATGAATAATCATTCCAGCAGCATTCTTAAAAATCCTTCTTTCTTAAAGCTTGCTTTATTTTATTTTGTCCGACAGCATCTTTTTATCACACTTGTTCTTGAAAAAATGCTATTTCAGACTTACAGGTTGTTTGATTGTTTTTTAATGTATTTACTCTGTTTAGGATTCCTTGAGTTCCTGGCCTTAGGAATGACTGTCTTTTAGTAATTTGGGAAAATAATCTGCCATTACATCACAAATATTGTTTCTACCCCATTATTTTTTTTAGTATCTCCTAAAAAGTGAGATAAATGTTCGCCTTTTTACGCCGAAACCGGTTTGGCTCAGTGGATAGAGCGTCGGCCTGCGGACTGGGAAGTCCCAGGTTCGATTCCGGTCAGGGGCATGTACCTTGGTTGCGGGCACATCCCCAGTGGGGAGTGTGCAGAAGGCGGCTGGTCGGTGTTTCTCTCTCATCGATGTTTCTAACTACCTCTCTCCTGTCCTCTCAGTAAAAACTCAATAAAATATATTTTTTATTAAAAAAAAATGTTGGCCTTTTTGCTGTACCTTTCATGTCCCTTAACTTACTTTAAGAATTTTTAAAACTCATTGGCTTTTATGTTGCATTCTGGATAGGGCCTTCACATTTAATCTTCATTTTATTTGAGAACAACATACCTGATGTTGTTCTACATATGTGAGTTCCTATTTTCTTGTGTTTTTTCATTTTCCTTTTTTTTACTTGTGTTTATATTTCTTGAAACCTTATGGGAATTCTTTGAGGCCTGAGTTAAGGTGGCATACTAGGTTGAGTTCTCTAGAGAAACAGAACCCTTCTCTTCTCTTTGTTCTAATGTTCAGAACAGGCTTTTTGTCTTAGAGTCGCTTGATAGGGCGTAGAACCATTTTAAATGACTGATTTTTATATAGGGCTCTTGGGATGTCAGCATCTCATAGTATGAAGAAGTCTGGGAATAATCACAAAGTGTCGAGTAGATGTCTTGGCAAACTGATGGAACCTATTGTTAGGTACAAGTTGTCTGCAAGGAGACTATAAAAGCAAGGTCTGGTCCTGGGTAGCATGAACAAGGAACCCTGGATCTGGGGATTCAGGCAGGAGGAAGCAGGAAAGTGAAGAGGACTATCGAAAGCAGGTTTGAGCTCTAACCCTGAATAATGGTGGTATCGAGTAGGAAACCAAATCAGGATCCTTTTCTTGAAACTCGAATCTTAGGACAGAGGCTTAGTAATATTTTAGTGTAAGGAAGGAGACTGCTTGCTGGATACCAGGGTGCATGATCATACCAGGTGAACTTGATATCAGCCATATCTTTGTTTTTGTTATTATATTACCCAAGTAGAAGTAGATTGGTTCCCAGAGCTTGGGGGCAGTGCCAGGTTAGAATACAGAATTTCTATTGAGGGCCAAAAGCAACTTAGGGGTAAAATTAGGGTGTTCTAAAGGTAGATTTTAGCAATGTGGGTGCTAAGTATGGACACTACCAATGCCTAGATTTTACTTGTTCATCTAAAGATTTTTTTTGTATTAATGCTCTTTATTTGTCGCCTCTTCTCTTTTTCTTAAATCTTCAGAAACTGTATGAGCTGAATAACCTCCATGCACTCATGGCAGTGGTTTCTGGCTTACAGAGCGCCCCGATTTTTAGATTGACGAAAACATGGGCGGTGAGTAATCCTCCTTAAGTTAATGAAAGGTTAGACTTCCTATTTGAAGTAAAGATGTATTAGTTTCTTTTTTAGTGCTTAGTGAGGTTAATATTATGATAATAGATAAGGATTTTTAAATTACTTTTGTCCTCTGTTCTTTGAAACCTACATTTTTATGTCTCAAGTGTTTCAAGAGGCTAATCTGATAATTTTGGGATAAATTACAACTTGGTGCTTGTCTTTATAAAAGACTGTACCCTTTTATGTAATGATGTTTACTTTGAATTTATATTAGTTCACACAAACACTCCACCCATGCTTTTGTTCCGACCCTCCGGTCCAGTTTAAGAACCGATTGTGGCCCTCGAGTCAAAAAGTTTGCCCACCCCTGATCTAGACAATACTGCCTTTCATGTTTACTGATGGGAAGTGTAAATACATTTAATCATGTAAAAACTATGCTTTTGGAAAGTTTTAAGGAAAATCTAAATTTTAAGTTTCAAAAAATATACTTAGTTTCCATTAATTTTTAGTCAACTTTGAGGGTTTTCCTTAGGAATAATGGAAAGCCTGAGAGTTAGCATGCTGTTATGCAGTGTTGCTGCACATTCTGATATGTTAATCATATTTGGTTTTATTACCTTGATAAGGTCAGGATGTGAATTTTTACATCTGCAAATTTGTATATTTCGTCTTTGAGTGACATGATACTGACCTCAAACTTTCTAGGTATTTTTTGTTTAGATTTATGTAAGTAAAACTTTACATTTAATTAAGTGTGTTCATATTTAATACTGTTCTTCAATGTTAAAGGGGTTAGCCTAGTGTCACTTTCACTTTTCATAGTGTCTGCAGACAGATGTTTCTCGTGAAAACCAGGGTAGATTTCTATATTGGAAAAACATTAGTATGGAAGAATTTACACTCCTCTTTATATTTTAGAAACACCTGGGTGAAGGGTTTTCCTACTTTAAAATTTATTTTTCAATAATGATGTCCTTATTCTCTTCTTAATTTGAATTTCATGGAGGAATGGAAATGATTATAAATATGCAGTTATGAATCCATCTTTGAAGTTTTGGGGGAAAGAATTATACTCTGATTTATATTGTGGTTTAGAAATGAGCTACATTTTCCTCAAGTTAATTTTCATTTTCCTTGAAGATATTTTTTTGTCTCCTTCAAGTATTTGCATGGAAAAGATTTTTTCAAATTCAATAACAGCTCCATTATTAATCTAAATAAAATTTTTGGTGTTTATATTAAATTTTAAAATATTCCATACTGTGCCAGGCACTGTGTAATTTGCTTGCCATAAAACAGTAAGTGATATAGACAGCCCCATTCTTATATAGCTAACAGTCTTCTGGGAAAAGATAAACTGTAAATAAATAAATGACGTATCATAAGTAGTGATGAACGCTCTGAAGAAAAATAAAGCAGAGTAACTGGGACAGAAGGGGAAGGAAGTATTTCATATAATATGTTGTAAGAGAGTCTCTGATAAGTGAGAGTTGGGGAGAGCCCTGAAGGAATTGAGAGAGCCATTCATGTGGATATCTGGGAGAAAAGAATTCCGAGCAGAGGTAGTAGCCAGTACAAAGGCCCCAGTAATGTTCAAAGAATAGCAGGGTGGTCATTGTTGACAGTGGAGTAAGCTAGGGAGTGGTTGATGTGGGAGATGAGTCCAGAGATGTGGCATCGAGTTAGATATTGGAGATGCTCTTTGCTGATATTCAGGGCAGTGTAGATATTATTTGGGCGACTGACCTTGCTTTTCTTTTATTCTCCTTGATTATCTTTATGTTTTTCAAAGGGCACACACAACAAATCTACCCTTAAGCCTCTTAAAACAGTTTCAGTTGATATTCAACTGTGTGGATACAGCCAGTGGTCAAAGGGATAAAAGAAAAAATGTCAAAAATCCAAAAATGTAAACCAGTTTACAAGTATTGTGGCCATAGTTAAATTTGTCAAGAAAAACTTGTCAACAAAAATTGCTTAACCATTTAAAATAGCAAAGATGGGAAATAATGTATTATAATTTACTAACTTAATGATTTTATGTACATGTCTTTTTTTGTCACTTATGTATTACCAAAATATAATTAAAGAATGTATAACTTTGAAATTAAATTTAAATTTACAGTAAATACAGCACAACTTCAAGTCTTTGCTAAAATAAAATGGGATTTGGAAATAACTTAGGCTTTTCTGTTTGTTTTTTAGTTACTAAGTCGAAAAGACAAAACTACCTTTGAAAAATTAGAATATGTAATGAGTAAAGAAGATAACTACAAAAGACTCAGAGACTATATAAGTAGCTTAAAGATGACACCCTGCATTCCCTATTTAGGTGAGTTGACATCACCGTGTGTTCATTATGCCTGGTTGTTGCTCTGCTTAATCGGTATTTATATAAAATTCAAGATAGTTTAAAAGTGTTTGTAACCTTTAAAGAAATTACTTGGGATTATTAGGCTGAAGAGATTGACTAAAGGAATGTGTTATTACCTGGAATGTATTTTTATATTAAATTAGCCTTTGCCCTAAAGATTTTTCATAGGCTATCATTTTCTGTTAAAAATAGACCCGTATGGTAAAAGAAAATATTTTAGCTATTTTGTAATGCTTTTAAAGAATAAATCAGTAGTTTGCAATGAACTTTAATGCTGTAACAATATTTAGCATTAACTAAAGAAATTGACCAAGAGATTTATTGAATTTACTTTTAATATCATAAGTTCATGTTTTATTCAGTTGGCAGATATTTTAAGGTGTATTTTGAAAAGTAGTCTCAGTAATGTTGGTGTTACTGTTTTTCTGGATGAAATGAATTGTTTGGCTGGGGGAATTTAGCTTTAGTGCTAAGACAAAATAAATCTGTATTTGATATATCACTTGACTAAAGATTTACCTCTTTACTGTATATTTTACAGTATTTATAAATTCCAAGAATTATTTAAACAATAGCATTATAAGATTATTTTCAACAAAATATGAATGTTTTTTAGATGTTTAAATAAAAAGTTTCAAACTGTCCTTTAAAAAAATGTGTGTGTAAATTTAAATATAAAAAATGCTCTATAGAATATATGTCTAGCAAAATATAAGTTGGTTTGATCCTATATAGAGAGTAATGAAATGGTAAACATTTCTTTCTTGCTAATATCCCTTTTTCTCCCATCTCCACTCTGTCTTTTATGTAACTACTCATACCGATTTTTTGATAGCTGTTTTTGAAAGTAAATCGAAAAGCCTGTTATGTGTTCAGGAGGTGCTGCAGTGTCATCTTTGATGCCTTTACATACTGTGACATGGAAGACAAAATAGAGCCAGAGGCAGTGATACTCATTCAGCCGCTGATACTGATTGCATGAGATACCTGTAGTAACTCTAAGTCAGCATGTCCAGAGTAAATTCATCATCTTTCCCCTTCCTCCAAACCGGATCCCCATCTTATCTCCTAGCCTCATGTACCAGTGATCATGGTGTGGCATTGTTTACATTGCTCCCCCACACTAGAAACCTGGGGGTGTACTGAATTTCTCCTCTTCATCTGCTTCTCATATTCTCTGTTGAAATGAGATGCCTCTTTCTGAGGGTTATCCAAAATTTGAAATCAAAAGGGGGGAAATGGCAAAGTACTTAGAGGATATACATTTTAATATCTATATAACTTTATATATTGGAAGTCTTCATATATTATTCATCCTTTTATTAGTTTGTGAAGCATCTGAGGCTGTGATGTAATTGCACAACATTTGGCATAAATATTTTGGTAGACTTGTGAAAGGAAAATGAAACATTTGTCAGATAAATTTTTGTGACTCAGTTTAGCTTGTTTCCAGCATGAAAATCTTTTTAATATAGTGTTGATTTTGTTTTATAAAGCAGACCTTGAAATTAAATATATTTTATCTATCAGAACACACATGCTTTTCTTAAGGAAATGTGAAGCATTTGCAACTTATACAGCCGTGACTACCTGGTTTATTTACATCATAGACAGCTGGTTCCTTTTTCCATTCCTGATCTTCAGTTCCAGAGTGTTCTGAAGAATGAAGATTTAACAATAGTTTATATCTTAGTAATATTTACTTTGTTCATATTTTGTTCTAATTTAAAATGAATTAGGGTCATGATTTTTTAATTTAACTTGTCTTGATTTTAGAATCCTTTACCCCTCATAAGAAACAATTGCCAAAAATGTCAACATTTACAAGATGCTATATGGTCGATAGGACAGAATTTACTCTGAAGACATTTGAAAGATAACATTTATTATGGAAATTGGTAGTTTCTGTTTAACTGTCCCTCTTCAAGCATACTGAATTTGCATAGTGCTGCCCTTTATTCCTTATGTCTGCAAAGGTTCATTTGCAAAGCTGTATCAACCAGAGGAATCTGTAGTGCCTAGAGCAGGGGTGGGCAAACTTTCTGACTCGAGGGCCACAATGGGTTCTTAAATTGGACCGGAGGGCCGGAACAAAAGCATGGATGGAGTGTTTGTGTGAACTAATATAAATTCAAAGTAAACATCATTACATAAAAGGGTACGGTCTTTTTTTTTTTTTAGTTTTATTCATTTAAAATGGGCCGGATCCTGCCCCGCGGGCCGCAGTTTGCCCACGGCTGGCCTAGAGAGAAGGTAAAAGACTCATGGCATGTTTCTTAACATGAGAGATGTGATCCAAACGGATGGTGTTTGCCCCTAAAAATCATGATCAAAACCGACCATAAAACTTAAAAAAGAAGGTGGAGTTTTATATGCTGACAAACTCTTTACTTTGATACTGCCAGATTTATCCATAATTCAATGTGGATTCAATTCTACAAAGTAGAAAATGTTTTTTTGGCTTTCATCATCCCTTGAAAAGTTGTCTCTTCTGTTGGTTCTCATTCAAAGTAAAAATTAGCCTGGACAGACAATACAGTAAATAATTCTTAGAGCAAGGATACAATTTTTTTGGAGAGGAATAGTTTGGCAAATCTCAAGGAAAAAATTGTTTTATATGAGAATTATTGCTTAAAATCTGAAAATCATTAACAGCATTCATTTGTTCTTGTCATTGAAGAACAGTCTTAAGGGGTTTATGGAAGAATTTGGCATAGGAAGTTTTACTTTGCTGGAGAGGAAGAAAAGCAGAACATTGTGCAAAAATAATTTAGTTGTGTGAAACCTGATATCTTTCATGTGCATTTTCTAGCCTCATTTCTATTTTACGTAATTTTGGGAAAATGCAGTAGCTCAACTGGCTTATGTTTTCTGGGAAAGAAAGCATACAGGGTGGGTCAAAAGTTGGTTTACGTTGTTTGTATGGAAAATCATACAATAATAAATAAATAATAATACAATAATAAAATTCAAGTTTTACGTACTCACAACTATAAACCTACTTTTGCCCCACCCTGTATTTCTAAAAGTCTGGCGATAAGTAAATTGTTGCCGTTCTATATATTGCTTTCTATTAAGTAGAAGCCCAGTTTTTGTTAAGCTTCTGCCCTTCTGTGGGACACAGATACCTTGTTTTGGTGTATCTAGGTATGACTCCTTGCTCTTGTAGGGAGAGTTCCCCCTCCCACATGCACTTAGTTTTTTATTTATTGTGTTAGATTTTCATAATAGCTCCCCCTTTTATTTTTTTGAGAAGAGAAAAGCTGTTTTTAGAATAGCCCTCTGTAATACAGTGCCCTCTCCATCCCCTGTTCTCTGAAAAGCATCGTTTTATTTTCATCATGATGTTTGCATTAATCTCTGTCCCCCTCAGCCATGTGTAAGCCATTCTTCTTTTTTCTTTTTTAATCCTCTCCCGAAGATATTTTTCCATTGATTTTTAGAGAGAGGGAAAGACAGAAATATCGATGTGAGAGAAACACATGAATTGGTTCCCTCCCGCACCGGCCCAAGCCAGGGAGGAGCCTGCAACCGAGGTACATGCTCTTGACTGGAATCAAACCTGGGACTCTTCAGTTCGCAGGCCAATGCTCTGTCCACTGAGCCAAACCCGCCAGGGCTGTAAGCCTTTCTCTGTCTTGGTTCAAGGCTTTGTCCTTGGCATCTAGAACAAAAATAGGCACTTAGTAATATTTGTTGGTTGTATTAATTAGTTAAATGATTCTTTTCTGGTTCTTCCCATTGGTCCTATAATTTTATTTGTGTGGCATTTTTGTAGACATTAACTCCTACCCACTCCAGTTTTCTTTTGTTGCATCAGCTGACTAACCAGTATTTGCTTAGCAGTTGGCTTGGTGCTAGATACATAGCAGTGAATGAAATGGGCTTTATCCCTGCCTTTATGGAGCATCACAGCTCTTTAATACCATGGCTCAGGTTGCTGTTACAGCCTTGTGAATCTTCCCTCCTATCTCCTGTTTCATGGAAGTGGTACATACATGCCATTGCCAGGCCTTGTTTGAGGTGTCCTCATCTTAGCCAGTGGAATGTTTAAAGCATGCCTAAACTTAAGGAACTTCAGGTTTTATCGGATCCTTTTATTTTTCAGTAGTTTCTTTCTATCTTGATCTCCCAGTAAAATATGGTTCTTTAGTTTACATTCGTTTTAGAAACTTCTATTAACCAATGTACAAATATTTTCAAAAATAATAGCTTTGCATTCATATTTTTATGCAGATAATTTCAACAAAGTCCAAAGCTTTCTGCAGCTCTATGGGTATTGAGGTGTGTTTTTTTTTTTCCTTCCTCTGTGGTAGAATCGTACTTGGTGGAAAGTATCAAAGGCTCTGAACTGATCTCAAACATGCCTAATGGTTAAAAAATGTCACTGGCATTCAGTATTTCAAGAGTGTTACTCCGTTTTCCTTGTCTTTGGTGTGGTTTGTAGGTAATGTACACCATGGATTGCTTTACCTTATTCTCAGTGGATTACATATTGTATTCTAGAACAGCAGTCAGGCGTGCTCAGGCGTTTTCTTTTGAATCCTGAGAATGAGCTATGACCAAATGGCAGCTAGCCTAGCTTTTTCTTTGGCCAGAATTACATCCCCATTTTCCATTACCTCATTTATATCCTTTCTTACCCTCATTCTTTTTGTTTTGTTTTGTTTTCCTGCCAGTTTTCTTTTTCTTTTTAATTTATTTATTAATTATTACATGTGTCCTTATCCCCCCATTTCCCCCCCTCAGCCCCCCACTCATGTCCTCACCCCCCTATTGTCTGTATCCATTGGTTAGACTTATAGGCATGCATACAAGTCCTTTGGTTGATCTCTTATTCTTTTTATATATTTAAAATTCCTCTAACATTCTTTAATGGTATACATAATTTCTGAAGTTTATTTTAGATCACTCATTAGCTTATGATATAAAAAGGCTGGAGGTGGGGTTGCATTAAT